ATTTTTTCAATATTTTAATCATTTATTATAAAAAAAAAGCCGTTACTATAGTAATGTTTCACAAACCAAAAGATAAAATTGTTTTATTTGGTCACAATGATTTTTATTTTAAAACCGGAAAACCTTATTAAAAAGAATTATTATAATCCATAAATTAATAATACATTAAATTTTGTCATTAAATTGAAGTTATAAATAATAATAAAAAGTATGAAAATCACTCAAGAAAACACTGGATTCATTTTTGCAAAAATCATACATTCGATCACAGAAAAACCATAAATTTTTTCCTCACTTTAGAATCTCATCGAGCGGAAAAAGAGGCTCGCGACTTCTAACAGACCACGGCAGCACGAATGGCGTCCAAATGATCCAGTACGCAACCCCTAACAGCGCGAGAGGCACCCTCAGATCTCTTTCGGTCGCTCAACCCTCGTCCAGTCCAACTTTGAGCGATTCTCAGTCGATTAACCGCAGCCCAAGGTATATTAAAAAAAATTAAAAAAATAAAAATTTCATTCGCAGTAAATAAAACGCAGCAGTCACATTTTTCCAATCAAATTAATCCTTTGCATTGTTTCAGGATCGGCCAGGACCACAGCAATCTGTACCTTCGCCCGAACCCACCGCCTTACGTTAGTCTCAACAACTTGTAAGTAATTACAATTTTACGTCAATTTCACAAACAAATGACGCGACAAATCGATAAAGCATTCAATTGAAACACATGATGAGTGATTGATTATTTTTGATTGTTGCAGCGGGACGGGCGTGCGATCCGATTTTTGACTAAACGAGGAGCCGGCTCAGACGTGGTTTTGCTAAGCAGCGGTAGAAGAAAAATATTTACTTATCTACTGGAAGTATCCTAGTGATGGGAAAACGTGAAATTTTTAAGATTCTGATGATTTTACGTTCGCTAATTACAGATACTTGCAAAAACTACGTTTGCTGAGTAAATCGGCTCCCGATCGACTTTAATTGCCGCCATATATATGCGCACTTATATTCACGAAAACAATAAAATAAACGCTCAACTTCATTTGAAGGATATATATACTTTTTATACGATTTGTTTCATCGAAACGCATACATTCAACTGGTTACACGCGCTTACGTATAATTATTGCATTTCTTCTGTAAGAGTATAAATGTGTACCACAATACACATATATGTAATTGGTAGTGATAGTTTTTTTAATTTAAAATGTGCAATAAATAGTGGACAGTTTTATATGTGTGTTTACGTTGAATACGTGTATTTCCCGCATTCGCTCGCACAATGTATGAAACACGTATACTTACCACATGTACGTTGTACGTCAATCGCTTTGCGAGATGTGCATATAAAATATATCACTTGTGCTAATTAAATAAGTATGTTACAAATTTTTTTTTTTTTATGTTATATTCGTTTATTACGTTGTACGAGGAAATATACATTTATATTGCATGACTTTGTACATTTGTCATAAATTGTATTGAAAGATACATTCGTACGTACAATTATAAACAGATGAATTAAAATTTTAGAATTTAGAATTATAAACTAGATAAATATAAAAATATACGTATGTATACAAAAAAAGTTTTCGCTTATATAATTATTAAATCACTTTGTTTTCAAATAGAGTATTGTTAACTAATATTCGTATATTTGTATGGAAAATGTGAAAGGAGGAGGATCCTATCATACAAAATTTGATGTCACGATACTAGAACTTTTTTTTTTTGACATGTTCTGTATTGATTAAAATGAATTACGTGGATTTGTTTTGCAAGATTTTTTAAATACCAGTTGCTTTAAATTGTAGTAATATTTGTGAAATCGATCCGAAGTGATACTACTTTATTTTGTTTGTCCTACTAAAAAAAAAAAAAAAA